TAAAATTATATAATAATATAATATCTAAAATTTGATTAGCTAAAACTGATGATGTCATTGATGATATAATTGCAGCTAATTATAATATATATATTATAACTACTAACAAAAACTACAATTATTAAAATTTAAATAAATAATTAAGTTATCATCTTTAATATGAATGATACTTTTATTATGATACTTATGTTAATTTTGCTATGATCTAAATATTATTTTAGTTAGCATCATAATGTTGATTTTATTATAATAGTATTATTAGTTTTGCTATGATAGTTTTGCTAACTTTGTTATAATAATTTTGTCATGATCATTATGTTTGCAAAATCTTCTAAAAATATTTATAAATAATATTCTCTAGAGTTAATATCTAATAAGATATAAATAATTATTCATCTAATTATATTGTGATATGAAGTGATCAATAATAAAGTTAACTAATATTCTATTAAAAGTTTATATTACAATAGGATTCTCTTCATTAGCATTTTATTCCACAAAATTTAAAGCTAAATATCAGATTTTTACTAAACTTAATAGTTTTTTAAAGTTATCATTTATCATTCTTTCAAGTTTCATTAATGATAACTTTCTTAAACTTAAGATTGATTATTCTGAAATATATTAAAATAATCTACTAGTTCTACTAGCAATCTTTCAATATTATGATGATATATTTCTGATTATAATATGACTAAGCTTGTAATAAAAAAATAGTTTCTCTCTGATTAAATCTGTACTTATTATTATGCTGATTATTTATTGATCAGTTCAGAGTATATCAAAATTTACATTTCTGTTAGAGAGAATTGCTGTTACTATTTCTAATACAATGTCATTCAAGATGACTTTTGTTCTGAATTTGCAAAGTGATAGCATTTTAATAAAAAGTTTGAATGAATAAATAAAAAAAAATAAATTTTACTTAAATAATAAAATAAAAATTATTTATAATAAATAATATTCTATAAATAAATGTAATACAGGATAAATATGATAAATTAAAGGGTAATATAATATAATTGATTTAGATTATAAAAATTCCAGATTAATATATTTTTCAGAAAGACTATAAGAAAGAGAATTTTTCAGGCAAATAAAATTATAATATGAGCTAATTTTTATATCTAATTTCCATGCTATAGTATGTAATTTTATAATTTTGATCATGTCACTGCAGATTTAGGGGTTGATGTAATCTTGTATTATATTAGATATTTGCTTAGCTATATAATTTCTATTAGTACTTTCTAAATTAATTTGATTTTTATATCTATTTACTATTTTACTATTAATTCTTTTTTTATTTTCATAGTAAAACTGTACTTCTTTATCATCTATTTTAATATTATTAACAGTATAGTTATTTTAGAAATTTTGTTGAATTGAAAAAGAAAGAGATGTTTTATTATTATTATTTACTCTTTGCTTTTCTTTACTAACAATCTGTAAATTCATTTCATCATTAAACTATTTACTTTTACATATTTTCTTTATTATTATTATTATTATTATGTGATTAAATTATGAAGATAACTGTTATTTGACTATGTGAAATATATTCATGAGATTTTTCTTTTTCAAAATTTGAAATTTTAAGAATCTGAAAGAATGAGAGATAATTGTGATATTATATTATCATTTTCTTTATTGTCTCTGTTTCTTTCAGTTATGACTGTTTATGAGATATTAATAATATTCTAATTGTATTTGTAGACAGATTCATTATGATTCTTCTTGACTTCTTGGATAAAAGATAAGTCACTTTTATTTTCATTATGTTTTTGATTACCTAACTAATAATTAATAAATTAGATAATTTTGTATTCTAAATATTAATTAGTTCTGATGCTTTCCAGAGTTAAATTATAACTTTTGGGATTAGAATTATAGTGTGTGACAAAAAAACTTAACTATACTAAATTTATTATAAATTCATAAATATTGCATCAAATTTACTGATTAATATATTATTTAAAAGCAAAAAAGTTATAGAATAAAATTTATTAGACTTAAAATTGATTTATTTATCTTTGCTTTCAATAACTAACTTATAATAATATTTTATTGAATTTATTAATTATTTAAAATAATTTTTGAAATAGGATCTCATTTTTCTATCAAAAACTTTTTTAAAATATTCAAATTTTTAGATATTTATTTCTTAATATTACTCTTAATAATAATTTATAAATTTTTTATAAAATTAAAATCAGTTTGAATAGTTTAGATATAGAATAAATATCTTTATTCTAATAATATAATAAGCTGTATATCTTTTATTTATGGGTAATTAATAATATTTTAATATAAATTTTGCAAGAATTTATTTAATAAATATAGTAAATAAATCTATTATTTAATTTTAATTCAGTAAAAAATAATATAAATTAAGCTAAAATTGAAGATATTTATTTATTATTTAATATAATCAGAAAATAGTTAAGTTTTTTTGTCACACACTGTATATCAGAAAATTTAAAGTAGATTATGCAAGGTTAAGAATAAAGGTTAAATAAATATTAAGGTAAAAATTAATGTTAAATAAATTGCGGCGACTGTCAAACAAATGTTTCGATTTGTTAAAAATCAACGAAATTAAAACTAATAATATAAATTTTGCGAAAATTGTGGATTAACTTAATTCAACGTAACAATATGAACAGAATACTTTGGATTACAGTTCGTTAGAATAACCTAAAACAGACGAAAAATTGAAGAGTATCTTGAATTAGAATGACAGAAATGGAAAGTACTTGTTGAAGAGATTAAATAACAAAAAATCAATTCTTACGAATAAAAACAAGTCCGCTCAAATGCAGTCGAATATTTACTTCGAAATTGATTTCAATTCCAACTTCTACTAGTAAAGTAACTTCTATTCATTAATATCAACCTTTCATATTTATTAAGAATTGTATCAGATATCAAGCTTTTACAAGGGTCCACTTGTTTGTTCTATATGAAGGCAAACCTATTTTTTAATGTTAAAGTAAGTCTTTAATTGATTAATCAGCATCTTCTCTTTGGTGGTGTAAAACCCGAACTGGAGAATGAGTTTGTTGTAAGATAATTGATCTTCACACGAACCAAAAGTGATTTCAAATTACGCGTGTATATTTATTATTTCAAGCATTATTTTTATATCACTTATGTATATTTACAGTTTATATAGTTTCATAAGTGAATGAATTCTTGAAAATTTATCATGTCATTTCATTTATTATTTTCAACCAGACGAAAGCACTTTTGTAGACAGATATTTACAGTATATTTAGCATAGTCAATTAAATTTTATTCAGCCAGTTGCTATACATATAAAGCAATGTTGTATATATAATATATATTTGATGAACACGGACATATTGGGACTTTGTCCGATGTACGCGGCCATATTTTTCAGAATGATAGATCACATGATTACAGCACATTTTCAGCACAATTCTTCACGAAATTACAACACAATTTTCAGCATATCTTTCAGCACAATTCTTGTTATATTTATTTTATTATACTTTTTTTATTATGTTGGTTGTCTTGTTTTCATCGATGCACAGTTATACAATATCTCAACAAAATCACACTTTAAAACAGCAAAATGTGTGATTAAAAAGAGATTGTGATTATTTGAGGTCAAATTTCCTATACTTTGTAATAACTTGATTGTATGGAGAGTGTAATTTTGTGGAGATATGACTGTAATAAGAATATTATATCGTTAATAATAGTATTCCTTTAATTGGTAAAGCTAATGAAAAATGTATAAATGGATGGCTCTTGTGACCATCAATAAAAAAATAGAAAGACTTTTAGCTAGAAAAAGCATTGTTTGTAATTGATTTAATTAATAAAATAGTTTGTATAAAATATAATCTACCTCACTCCCTCTTTACAAAATATCTTATCACAATCATTTATTTTCCGTAATTCTTTTTCAATTTCTTATTTTTTTTTCTTACTCTTCTAATGCTTCCCGGGTTTTCTTTTATATTCGCCGTCATGTATAATGCTTCATCGACAAGTTCCTGGGCTATGTCAGCTGAACTGCGTTCAGATTCCGTCAGCATTACTAACATATGAGGTGTAGGGATGCTGTTTCTTGCCATCATTGTGTATCTCCGAAATAAGCTGCTTTTTGCACAGTTTTAAGTTTGAAAAGGAAAGGACAGCTTATTTTCAGGATTAGCCTTATGTCATTTAAAAATATATATTACAATAACAAATGACTTGAGTAGTGTGAGGGATTCTTTTCAAGAGTAACTTATCAATGCGTCGATGTACAATATCCTCACACGATTTGAAATTATATAATAAAATACATATAAAAACTTTTTTTATAATTTATAATTAAAATAGTTCTTGCATCTTAAGTCTCCCACAGATAGGGATCATTTTTGAAAACTACAATTGATGTAAAGTGTGGAAAAAAAGTTCTTTTTATTAAAACGTGAAAAAAATTTTGCTTTATAATCAAAATTGTCTTGTCTCATTTTTTCAGAAATATAATTTATGATATAAATTTAGAAAAAATACGAATGTAAACATTATTAAATTAAAGAATGGTTAAGCTAAGGGTTAGAGTTGAGATCAAGTTTACATGTACATATAAAATTGTCTCACCGAAACTTTTTATTAGTACTCTAAACTAGGTTTAAGCATCTGTCTTCTGAATTTTTCACATTCGTGTAGGATTTGCGCCACCAACCTGGCACACGTGCTATATGTACATTGTGCTTGACGCAGTATTTGTGTAACTACATGTAGATGGCGTCTGCATTTCAATCACGAGAATTATTCGACACAGCCTTTAATTTTAATAGGCTTTTTGTTTGATATAGCCTGTTTTCCTACACAGCCGTTAATAGGCTTTTCGATATGACATAGCTTTAATAAGGTTAGTCAATCCACATATAAGGAGATCCTTTGTCCTCCTTCCATAAGCAATTCACAAGCTAAAAAATTCATATCGTTGAAAACTAAAAAACTAAAAGCAAAGCAAGATGAAGTTCCAATCCATTATTTTATGTTTGACTGTCGTTTTGACTTCCGTAATTTATGCTCAAGCGGGAGTACTCAAGCGGGGATTATGCACTATTCGTAAGTTCATATTCATTCGATTAATGTTTTACATGTAATATGCAGAACTCTTTCGATTAATGCTATATTTAGATTACGCGGGTAATACTAAACATGAAACTGGTAATACGAGTGGCTGTTATGGTATTGACGAAAGCGATCCTGTAAAGACCGTGTCGGTCACTACGGCTGGTAGTTCCTATATTTTCTATTCTGACTACGGTTGCAAAGGAGCTGAAGTCTTTCGTGGCAAAGACAGCACCACACAAAACCCTCCTAAAAAAGCTAAATCAGTCTTATTAACATGTAGTTAATGTAAATATTAGTAGCAATTAATGTAAATCATATAAAAAAATAAAAGAATATGTGTATACTGTAACTTTTGAGACTTATTAGTTTAGAGTTTGGGACCGATTTTATTTTTAATATCATTCTAATATAATCCAGATTATATTAGAATTTTAATATTAAAAATAAAACCTGTTTCAAACTATATTACTGTAGTTTTAACCCATGCAACTGAAAATAAATTACATAACCTCACAAGATAAGACAAATATAAACGTACAACCACAAATTAATATTTCCTCATCAGTGCTGTTCCTTTTATTGGATAATATTATTCATCAACATTATTAATAATTGATCGTTAGGATTTGAGTTATGTTCTGTTCATTCGCTAACGGGTGTCGTCCAGCATTCGAAAACCGCAATCCTGAAACACTTAACGAAATCCTGACAATTTTAATAACAAGTAGCTATGAACATTAATTTTATTATTTCTCCTATTGCAGCATTATACATGTACATGTATATATTCGAAAACTAGTGTAGTAAATGCCCGATTTGCAATTAACATTTAACATAATTTTTTATTATTTTGTCGGCTCACAATAACCTCTTTAAGAAAAGAGACACCAAATTTTGATCATGCCTCCTTAGAACAGCTTTGAGCTCATCCACGGTTCTTGGTAAGTTTTAATTATCCTCAGTAGTATCTAGGTGATGGAATTTGCTAACCAATCCATAATTTTGCCTCGAACCATTCTTTGACTTTGTTTGCGGTATGGATCGGTACATTATCCTGCTGAAAAACCAAATTTTCTACTAATATACGTATCGTATTATCGTTATGAGCGGTAAAAGCAGGCCTATAAAAATTTAAGATAAATTTTGATTGATTTTATTCATTCATATCTCCTTCGCTTCGATTATTTTTGAACTCGGTGCTAAGCACTCAGCATTAAACTTTTCCCCATATTTCGCTATACTCTTATTTGTCGGATTGTTTCCCAATTTCTACGCTTATTTCGTGGTTTGTCTTTATTCTTTTCACACCAAGTAATGCGTGATAATATTACTTAACAGCTTTTCTGCAGCAAGACAAGACCGAATCCAAAGCTATGTATTATACATATTTGTAGCAATTGACAAACTGCAGTTTAATTTTTTAATTCATTCACAATTTTGCAATAACTTTTTTATAAATGTTCTTTTTTCTTTATCATTTGAGAACTTGTGGTCTTTCAGACTGTGGTAAATTTTCGATTTTTTCGGATCATAAAGTATTGTGGTGAGGTCACGCTTCATTTTTCTTGCACTTATATTTTCTATATGCATATATGCGAGAATCTTTCCCGCATCTGCGTCAGTCATTTGGGTTTGAATGGATGCCATATTTACATATAATACTGTTACCGTTGCAATGAGATTACGAAAATTCTTAATTCTTGTATCACTTAACGTTAATTAATACCGTGTTCAAACATTTGATTATTGAAATTATTTGATCTATGTTGTTAGAATAATTATCATTGAGTTTTATTAGTGAATTAATATAGTAATTTTGTTATTGAATTGAGATCATATTTTGTAATAATTTGCTATAGCTTTTGTTATTTGAATTAAATACTTGCCCTATGAATACACAATATCCGTATCAATCTGGATGAAAAGACAATAATAACTATAAATCAATATTAACAGCTGATGAATATACATGAACATGTACTACATGTACGACTATTCGTTATTTTGCCCATTAAAGCAACAAATTGATCCTCAATTGCTGTTGACGTTAATGATTAAATACTGTATAATGTAAAATATCAATAGAAAATATAAAAAAAAGCAACTCATCCTCCTCTACATTTTATTATAACAAAAGCACAGCTGAAATCCAAAACATGAATCAGCAGAACCAGCAACAAACTGACAGCATAATAAAAAAAGAAACCACAATAGATGATTTACTGATTTTCTATCGCTATGACAATATCGTCAAGAATAATGAACATTTTCAAACAGATTTAATAATGCTTATTAGAATTACTTTCGAAAAAACTCAAATATCCTGGGAAGCTTTTGCAAGGTTTACAAGATAATACAAAATATACAACAATTCTAGGTATCATTTATCATATGGGTTTGAATACTGAAAAAGATTATGATCAAGCTTTACGATATTATCAACAAACAGCAGATGTTATGGCGCTATATTTAATCGAAGAATTATACAACGAGGAGGCTTGGATGAAAAAAGATGAAAAAAAGTTTTCAAATGGTATTTAAAATCAGTAGATTCTAGATTTCCTCAAGCATGATTCGCGCTTGCTATCTGTTATGAAAATGGAAAAAGAACAATCAAAGATGAAAAAAAGCATTCGAATGGTATTTCAAAGCAGCAGAGTCTGGAGATTCTCAAGCACAGTTTAATCTTGCAAACTGGTATTCAAATGGGAAAGGAACGATCAAAGATGAAAAAAAGCATTCGAATTGTATTTCAAAGCAGCAGAGTCTGGAGATTTTCGAGCACAATTTAATCTTGCTAACAGTTATCGAAATGGAAAAGGAACAATCAAAGATGAAAAAAAAGCATTCGAATGGTATTTAAAATCAGCAGAGTCTGAGTATAATAGAGCCCAATTTATTTTGAGATATAGCTATGAACGTGATGAAGAAATGAAAAACATAGAATCTATGTTATTTAAAGTTGTCTTACAATTAGCAACTAGTGGGAATTCTCGCTTACAATTTCGACTTGGACAATGTTATATACATAGAGAAGGAACAGGCAGAGATAATAATAAAGCACTTGATTGGTATTTAAAAGCGTCGGAATAAAGCCCAATTTAATATTGGGAAATTTTATTATTATGGAATAGGAATTTCAAAAATCACGAATGGCTTTAGATTGTATCAAAAGGCTTATGTAAACGGGCATGATCAAGCAGCTGAAATGATTGAGTCTTTTGATTTTGAAGAGATTTATTCTCATCAATAGTTACTTTTTTTAATTTTAAATATTTATAAGGGTGTTAAGTATAGTTGTAATCATGGTTATTTTTAACTTTCGAGAAATAACTAGATCATGTCATTTAGGATTTCAGATTCATCTTTGTTATTTATTAACCATTTTCTCTTGTTAAAATAATATTACGATACTGAATTTTCTAAAATATGTAGTAGTGTTTAATCGATTTTTCTCACTGTTTTAGTAATAAATAGTTTATTTATTTTTTTAATCGATAGCGGGAATAATTTAATAACTAAGCTTTAATATTTTATTTTTATTACCGCACCTTATTATTTTTATCTCAATACTATTAAAATCGATTATATATTTCGTCAAATTTTTATTCGTCACTACAAGGTTAATATATTTAACAAAAATCAATTTCTGATGATAAGAAATTCATTGAAATAAAAGTAATAAATGATTGATCGAGTATATTCAGAATATTATAGACGACGATACAATTTTCCTTTCAAAATATTGAAACTAAATAGTTTCAGATGCACCTGAATACTGCATAATTACTCTAAATAATTCCGTTCTTTAATGTGCGTGGATATAAATAATTCCAATCTGATAATTGATGAACTCGCAATCAATCAATATGAACATTGTATATATGTAAATAAATTTTTCTTCCACATAGATACTTGTTTTTCTTTAAAATACGAACAATGAAACTCGGAATAAATTTAAAGAAAACAATAAATATCTATCATAAAGACGTTTATTGTTTTAATTAAAAAAGAAAAACAAGAAAAGAATTAAATCTCCATGCTCTTCAATCCCTTGTTAATCAAGTCCATTTCATTGTCTTCTCCATATTCGTTTTGCTCACTATTGCCTCTATCATCACTATTCCCATTATCGTCATGATAAAAGTAAATATTCATATTTTCCAATCCCTTGCTAATCAAGTCCATCTCATTGTCTTCTCTATGTGCTTTTTGCTCACTATTGCCCTTATCATCACTATTCTCATTATCGTCAGGATAAAAGTGATAATGTTTTGATTTTAGTTGTGATTGTCCTGAATTCGTTGTTGACTGAGGTTTACAAGCATCAATGCAATCATGCTGACGAAGGAATTTATTTACTACACGCTGGAGACGATCATCTTCTGGATCTATAGTACGCCAGACTGGTGCAATTGCCGAGTCTTTTAAAGAGAAAAATGAGAAAACGTCTAATAAAACATGAAGAATGCTAATAATTTGAATTACCTTTAAAATGAATAAGAAAAAATTCTGTGTTATCTTCCATGACAACATGTGCGGAAATCTTTCGCGGAAGACGAAGAAAACTTTATAAATGTATGAAGGAATTGCATTATGTAATATGTTTTATGTTATAAGACAATACATATAAATAAATACATATACCGATTTTTATGTTTTTTTGTTTTTGCGCTCGACTTCTTAATATTATCAATACTAGTAGTAGTATTGTTATTTATTTTTTTCGTAGCAACAAAAATGTTACTGTCATTATTCGTCATTATCGAGATATTTTTCGTGAAAAAATTGTAGTTAAAAAAAATTTTTAAGATTATAAACGATAGAAACACAAGAAAAAAAAGATTGAATATACATGGAAATTGGTACAACACACACTACATATGCATGTTAATCTTCATCCTCCTCATGTTCCTCACCATTCCCAACGTCGCTCAATTTAGGCGCAAGGAAATATTTGACATATCCTGCCGCCTCGAAATTATACTCTACCATTATTGGAAGGTCTATCGCGAGATGTAGGGTGACATGATCACTTAATGCTTGGCTTTTTGCGAATTGTAATAGATGTTTCAGCGAAAATTCGTTTTCAACTGGTTTCTTGACGTTTAACGAGATGATTTCGCTGTCCTTTATATATAAAAATATGCGGATTTTCTTATGATTGATATTAAATTCATTTTAGAAGTGACAAAAACCAGACTAACCGTTGACTTTAGTGTGACATTTCCTTTGGTAGTCTCCCCAGTAGTGGAAAATTTGATTCCTCCTTTTGTGACAATTATTTGAACTATAACAAATAGATAAATCAATATTTTATCAGACTAATTCATAAAATACGTATACTTGCCTACATCACCAAAGTTTGAATTATCGCGGCAAATTTTGCTAAATTCATTCGATGGCAAACTAACAACACATGGGTATTGTTGTTCGGGGATAGCAAGATGTTCTTGATCAATATCCATTAGTCTTAATTGGTACTCCGATACTTTATTACCATCTTTTTTTTGATAATAATATTGTTACTTCATTTATTAAAGGTAATATACGAGTTATAAAAAAAGACCAAACCTTTACTCTCAAATTTCAAATTCATAAAATCTGCAGTATCATCACACGTAAAAGTGATTATATCATCACTCTCAGCGCATGACAAGATTCGATTCAAAGAGCTTAAATTTACACCCAACGTGAGTCCTCGATCACATCGATACGGTTCAAATCCTTCTTTGAACAACAGCATCGATACCAACGCGACATGTGCTGAATCTAACGCTTGAAGCGAAATCCCGGATTCGGTGAAATCGAGGTTAACTTCGGACACTAACTCTTTAACGGACGCAATTATCTTTTTCATCAAGCTTGTATCATTTGGTCGTGCTTCAAACATTTTATTGTTCCTTATTATTTTTTGAGATTTAATATTTCTTTTTGATTTAAGATGATATCTGTAGGAAAATGAAATTGTTTGCGAGAGAAAATCAGAAGACAATTAATACTCTACATGGAAAAGATCATCAATGTTATAGATCAAGTGATGATAAATCGGAATAATTTTTGTGTGCCACAAATGATAAATAATTTGATTTGGAATAAAGCCTGATTTTTCAGGAATGTTATTTACGTTGTGGAAATATTCTGATTCAGTTTTTTCATGAGACCATTTAGTTGTTACACATTAAGGAAAAGAGATGCTAATGATTTTAAACATTGTGGTTATAGCGCGCGCGTGAGAGTGTTATAAAGCAAAGATTTGGGAGCATTGCAATAATCTCAAAGGAATTACATGCGTTAATTAGCTTATTTATAATCTATAATTATTAGTTCCTTCTCACTTCAAAAACCCAAACATCCGACCAACAACGACAATTTTTCAGTTCTGATTATTTGCCTGAATTTGTTGTTTATAAACTTGAATAGCGACACAACCATCTTCGTGTGAGGTTTTCTTCATATGATCATTAACCCATTCCTCCTTCTTGCAACTGAACACATTCTCCTTTTTGAATTCGTCATCCCGTCCTTTCATACTTCCACGAGTTTCTAGCAACGCAATCCATCGATTATGCGCCCTAATAAACTCATTCACAAAACCCAAATTCCCTAATTCCATCATCTCATCATTGGTTCTAAGATGACGTCCCGGCACTACGAAATATTCATTCTCGATGATATCACCTTGTGCAGAGCGCCAATTATATTCTAATTCTTCGGGATCCATTTGTGAGGACAAGATGTCCATGTACAGCGCATCCGGCGCGAACTTACATTCGATTTCACGGCACATTGGCGAAAATCGAAGAGCGAGCAGCTCGACGAATGTGTAGGTTCTTTTGGTTGCTGGTGGTAGTAGCTGTTTCTGTTTTTGTTTGTCGGTGTTTGGGTATTTTGAAGTGTTTGCTGCTGCGAGAGTTGAGGGAGAGACATGTGATGATGTTGGGTTTTGCGTGACGTAAGTGGAGGTTTTGTTGTTGACGTTGGACATTATCGTTGGCTGGCGTCTTGTGTTTTTTGTTTTGTGGTTGTCCTATTTGTCGCCAATTTTTTCAAAACGATTTACCCTTCTGATATTGATAATTGATCCCAAAGAAAATTTAGTCTTTAAAATCGTTGATAAAATTACCCGTAATTTTTTCTTTAAATAATAGTGAATTTATCATGCGAGTGGTGATGATTAATAAATCCTAATTAGTATATTATAATTGTCTAATAGATTAGATGATGTGTTGGGAAAATTTATTGATAACCGTTTTTGTGCAATCAATAACGATAAGCATTTTTTGCTCACCCCATTACGTAAATTAGAATCGACGTTAAAATATTTTTAGAAAGTTTGAAGAAAACGAACCACAACGCTGGTCAAAACATCTACAAAACCTTGTACCACAAGTTGCCGCAGAATTTAGTACCCTTAAAATTATTAACGTTGTCAGTGACTCCTTTAATTTTCTATTAATATTAAGGAGGGAAAATAATATTTACTTGCTTTCGTAGACTTTTTTTAATACGAAAAATTCTAATAAAAGAATATAGGACAATGGGCACTTGATGTACAACCAATATTACGGATGACTTCAACAAAGAATGCCTAGAGAAGATCCTCTATCTATCCACAATTCTGGCATTTATAGCTAGTCTTTGGTGTGTATAACTTCGTTCTGAATAACAACAGTTGGACCCTAATCGATGATCTGGCGTTGACAGCTGACAGTCTTATGTATAAATTTTTCTCGTCTTCTAGTTACTATGTTCTCAAATGGTGGCATAATGATTGTGTATCAAATTTATGATAAAGAACATGAATCTCTGCAGATATAACACATCACATCTGAGAACTTAATTTTTTTACGTTTCAGTGTAACTTTACTAACTTGTTGAATAGGAATTATTTATGAATAGAATGGAAAGAAATAAACAACATTATCTGCTTGAATTTCGATACCTTCTGAATATTAAAAATCTAAACATATGTCATGTTCGTTCCCATCATTATATGTTTTGCATAAAATGATTTCAGAATTGTGCAAATTTTTCGTGATCGGGATGAAAACGTCAATGACCCTTTCTAATTCGTCTTCGTTGATAATTTCATCTCTGGCGACCCATGCCTCATTAATCGTCTTATCGATAACGATAATACGTGCACATGTAATCCCAAAGCAAGCATTCCAAGACGCGTGACAACTCGTACGAATTTACGTTCATCGCATCGCATACTGTAACAATTAGGAACTTTTTATACTTGAATATTCATCAAGTTAAGGCTTTATCCAAGTCTATGTACTGAATATACTGAACCGATATAAAGACGTGACATTATAAACATATCTCGCCAATCCATCCACCACTTCAAGAATTGCTTCGTTCCGTTGTTTGTGTTCTCAATCTTCTGACATTTCCGCGAGAGCTATCATGTTCGTGCGCTTTTTAGTTCTTGATTCTAGTCGCTTTTCATTTCGCAGGAATATTTGTAGGTTTCATCCTCACAAGTTTCAGAATAAAGAGTGTACATATTGGAAAAAAAGATTCGTGATGGACAATCAAGTGTTTGAAAACGATAGAACGTGGTATCAGTTTGATTGTCTTGGATGTTACAATATACAACAAATTTGTAATTGCTTCTCCAGTTGTTATGCTCATTAGTTGTTACGTTTGAATTTTTGAGAAGTGTTGTGCTTTGAAAAGGTTTCGCATTTTATATTATTATTTGCATTAACAGTAAAACTCAATTTATATTTTCTTTATTTTATAGCAAGCATCGTTTCTATAAAACCAAAATTGTAAAAAAATATATGGTTCAATGCAAAAATATTTGAACCTCAAAATAAAAATTAATAGTTGCTTTTAATAAAAGTCATCCAAATTTTATAATTTATTTATATTAAATAAAGAATCTTTTTTTATTTATTCTATTGTACTTTAATTCAATAATAATGAAGCAATATTTTCTAAAGAAGTAAATAAAATTATTTTTTTTAAAAAATACATTTTAAGTAATATTACTACAGTTCGAGTCTCTTAGTCTCAACTAAAAATTCAAAGTACTACTAATATATTAATTTAAATATTATTAAATTATAATTATCATATTTTTAAATATAATGCTTAGTTAATAAATCTATGATGAGTTTATAAATTTTTAATTATAAAATAAAAAGTTATAAGCATTTAAAATTATAATTAAATTACTAAGTATAGTCCAGTATAAAAATGTTAATACATTATATTGTATAGTAAAATTTTTTTAAAAAAAACTATATTTAAAATTTTAATAATCTATTTTATTTTTTAGTTTCTGGGATTTATTTTGATATAATTTTTATTAGCTTTTATATATCAATTTCTTCATCTCCAAAATAGACTAAATCTTCATTATCAGAATTATTATTAACTAATAATATATTATCAATTATAGCATTATATTCTTTTGCCCTGTTCAATAATTGTTTCCATAAACTAATAATAGTTTTGGATGTGATTTTTTCTTTAAGAGCATCCAATAATTTATTTCTAATGAAAAGAAGATTAAAATATGAATCTAATCAAGAAATATCATCTTTTATTACCAT